ATCCTATTGTCCTTGAAGGTTACTGTGATGCAAATTGGAACACCATATCGGGTGATTCTATGTCCACTATAGGTTATGTTTTTAGGTGGTGGAGTCATAAGCTGGAAATCAAAGAAGCAACAAATTATTGCAAAGTCAACAATGGAAGCTAAATTGATTGTGCTAGCTTCAGCTAGTAAGGAAGCTAGGTGGCTTTGTGATTTGTTGTTTGATATACCTTTGTGGGCTAAACCAGTGCCACCTATGTTAATTCATTGTGACAGCAATGTCGCAATAGGTAGAGTACATAATAAGTACTATAATAGAAAATCCAGATATGTGAGAAGAAAGCACGGTACTATGAGATCATACCTATATAATGGTGCAATCAATATTGATTATGTGAGTTCGACTAACAATCTTGTCGATCCGTTTACAAAAGCTCCAGCTAGAGAAAAGATCTAGAGTACAGTAAGGGGGATTGGACTCAAGCCCAAATCCGATTAAGTTACATATGAGGATACCCAACCTAGGGACTGGAGATCCCAAGAACTAAGTTAATGGGACAAACGAATCATAGAGTGACTTGGTTTGTGGAACATGTACCAATGAAATATATATCATTGTTGAAATTTTATATTTATTGTCCATCCCTATGGTGTAAAGTACATGTGATCTCATAATGAAAATTTGGAGGGTAAGATCAATATCTCTTAATGAGTTCTATAGCCCTTTTTGGGTGGGATGTCTTAGTTATGAGAACATCCTTGATAGGCTCACCTATAAGTGTATGGAAGATGGGCCGCTTCCTATGAGAATTTGGGCTAATTCTCTAGAGCACTCAAGAGACTAGGATAAAACACAAGGCCAAAAATGTGCTGGTTTTTGAAGCTTGGTATTTGACACCTTGAATATCATGTGTGTGATATAGTTCTATGTACCCTCAAGTAGTCATCGTTTAAAGGCTAAGTCCACTTTGACTCTAATACGGGAACATTGAAGCACTAAGTAAAGGTTTAAAGGCATTGCCACGTTTACAATGCCTGATATTTTATTTATTGTCCCGTTACTTATATAGTGTATCTTTTATTAAAACAAATGGGGGATTGTTAGAGTATTTTAACTAAAAGGGTGTTTTTTTATGTGTGGAAACTCAATCTCACATCAACTAAATATCTAAAAGTACTTAAAATTATATATATATGCTAGTGTTATCTAACATTTGAGTTAAAGTGAGACCTTAGTACTCTCACGTACGCAGGGGTGAGACTAGCGAAGGAGAGACAGATTTCTAAAATCTACGAACCACACTACTCCGCCTACTTTTTGCATCTCATTTTTCCAACAATTTGATCAGATAAATTTGAGAAATTTTGCTCAGGAAAAGGATATGAACATGAGTGTTTGGCCCCTAGAACACCTCAACAAAATACTGTAGTTGAAAGAAAGAATAAAATAATAATTGAAATGAGTATAAGTATGTTTAATGAATACAACTGGCCTAAGTACTCTTGAGTCGAAGTCATAAATTACTCATGCTATATTCTAAATAGAGTTTTTACTAAATCAATAATCGAAAAGACATCCTATGATTATGGAGAAATAGACAAGTTTTACTTTAAAATCTTTGGATGCAAGTATTTTGTGTTAAATACCAAATATTATCTAGACAAATTTTATGCAAAATCGGATGAAGCTATAATTCCTACGTTATTCAACTCATAGTTAAAAAATACAAAGTATTCAATAAAAGAACTTTAGTTGTAGAAGAATTCATGCATGTAATGTTTGATGAGTCGGATCTTATTATAGTCAAAAATATAGATGACGATGATGAATTTGAATTGAACTTTACATTTGAAAAGCTCAAGGTAGATGAACCCAATGAAGATGACACTCCAAATGATAATAAATATGAAATCATACCTCAAGAACTTCCTAAGGAATTCAAGGTAGTAAGTGATCACCCAATCGAATAAATAATCAGAGATCCAACTCAAGGGATTAAAACTAAATCAAGTTTTAAAAATATTTGTAATAATCTAGCATTCTTAGTTGAAACTAAACCCAAAAACATAAATGAAACACTAAAAAATGATTCGTGTATTTAGTATTCATGTAAAAAGAATTAAATTAATTTGAAAGAAATAAAGTATTGCATAGTACCTAGACCAACTAATGTAACTATCATCGAAATAAAATTTGTATTTAGAAACAAAGTTGATGAAAATGGAACTATAACAAAGAATAAAACTAGACTAGTAGCTTAAGAATATAATCAAGAAGAAGAAATTGTCTATGATGAGACATTGGCTTCGGTAGTTAGGTTAGAAGCAATAAGAATGTTGTTTGCCAATACTTGTTATAAAGTCTGCAAGTTATATATAATGGATGTCAAAAGTATATTTTTAAATGGATATAATGGAAAATGTATGTATAGAACAACCCGGAAATTTGAAGATGATAAAGATCTTAATCATATTTATAAATTAACCAAAACATTGTATGGATTAAAACGAGTTCCAATAACTTGGTATGAAAGATTTAGTAAATTTCTACTTACAAATAGCTTCTCAATGGAGAAAGTAGATACTACATTATTTTATAAAACCTCAAAATAATGATAGGTCGATAATTCAAATATATGTAGTTGATACTATCTTTAGAGCTACAAATAAACACTTTTATGAGGAATTTGCTTCTTGTATCAGCAGTGAATTTGAAATGAGTTTGATTGATGAATTAAATTTTTTCTTAAGAAATAAAACAAGGTAAAGAAAGAATTTTCCTTCATTAAACCAAATATTCTAAGTAGCCCCTCAAAAAGAACGGTTTGAAAAGTATGAAATCACTTAGAACACCTTCGAGTTCATCAACTAAGTTAGATAAGTATGATAATGAAAGAAAAAATTGATGTGAAACTCTATAGAAAGAATGATGGTTAGTTTATTTTATTTGACAAAAAATAGATCAGATATCATTTTTTTTATTTGTCAAACAGACAAAATTTCACATTCGGATGTTTATTATGTACATCGGTCACAATAAAAATCAACTACTACAATTTTCAAATAATGATCTAACAAATGACAAAATATTCACATAGAAGTGAAACCTCGAGAATAACACAATAAAAACCCAAAGACCTGGAAACAAGATATTATGCTTTCAAGTTTGGGATATATTGACCACTCGATCTTTTAATTGGTAACATCTGAATCAAAAATAATCAACTATTTTAGGACAAATGCGTCACATATCCATATCAAGTACAACTATGTATCATAACCCTACTTCTGTCTAATAAAAAGTGAGGCGTGTTGTCTTATGATTACTTTATTATTTTTTATTCTATCCATAACTACATATAAAACAAACCAAAATTTATAATTACAAATTAAATTCAACATGGTAGCAATACTTTTTTGTCGATGCGTTAGGCATATAAATACTTAGAGATGCTAATCGGACACTCAAAACACCTCACTACCGATCGACCAACTGAAACTGAGACGATCAATTTGAGAAGAGTCAATTTGTGAAGAACAGCCCTCACCCGATTTTCCCATGTCAAACATCCAAAAAGCTTTGGTGCTTAAAAGTAACAAAAAAAAATAAAAAAATAAAAAAATAAAAGAGTAGGGCTCTCTACATGAGAATCTAGTATTTGAATTCCAAATTTGAATTAAAAAAATGCTACACAATTCAAATGAAACTCTAAAAAATACAACACAAATGTATACCATTTATTGGATGAGTAAATTCCACTAGAAAAATTGATAAAACCTATTTATCAAAAGAATGATATACCTTTGAATTACAATTTTTTACATTTTATTTGGGTTATGTAACATTCTTTTTTAAATTATATTTTACTAAATACATCGAATACAATAAAACTTTATGTCACATCAATCAAAAAAAAAGATTCTAATATTTTTTTTTTTTTTGGTTTTATTACTATCCAACCGATTTTTCACAAAACAAAAGCAACATTGGAGTGGACTTACAGGGGTAATTCGATGGAAAATAATATGTAATCTAAATTTACATTACAAATGAAAAACAATTAGATGAATGAATCTCATCACCTTTTTTAAATAGGACTCATTAATCAAATGATCCCCTCAATTGAGATATAAATTTGAGTTGTAAATTTGAATTACATAACATTGCTCTTGATAAACACTGCAAAAACCAGGCTGGGCTCGAGGATGTTAAATTCCCCTCAATCGGGTACGAACCCCAACATGGATTAAAAACCATGCCGTACAGATTTATCCTCTAATCAGGCCTAATCCCTACGTGAGGGATTGGAACAGACCAGATTGCGCGGTCTAGACCAATCCAAATAGTGCGGGATTGGAACAGACTGGATTGTGCAATCCAAACCAATACAAACCGCAGACCAAAGAAGAGAAAATATTCATTACAACAGTGACATCACGCAACAATGTTATGTAATATCAACAATCAATAATACTAAAACAAATAAATAAATAAACTCCACAAAAATAAATAACTTGTCATGTAAATAACTTACTCCCCACCAATATACCATGTAATCTCAAGTAAAATTCACCTTTTCCATTTGGAGTCTTTTTATAATTTGGTGATCGTTGCATTTAATATTTACTCAACCAAAGAGGCACTGATGGTTTTACTATGCGGATCATTAAATAATGATTTAAGAGTATTTTTGTCTGCATACAACTATAAAATTTCCCATATATGACACATTTTGACAATTGCATTGAAAACGTAATCAGTGAAGCAAAATAACCCAAGAAGCAACAGTTTGGGCCTTGAAAGAGGAAGGAAAACTAAAAAGAAAGGGGAGGGAAATTGGGGGAGGGGTGTTAAGAAACCAATACACGCACTGCATCTTGTTGCAACATTACTACATCTATCTTTTGTTAGGATTACTAGATCTAATTCCCATTGGAAGTTAGACAGCATGATTCAGGATAATAGAGTAATGATAATTAGTTTCATAGATTAAGGTAGAACTGACAAAAAAGCTAAGGACGTCGCTTCCGATCATCTTCCTCCTCATCCTCGGAATCGCCACTTTCACGGAAACGTGGATTCTTCTCCTGTTGCATCAAAATAATGTTTAAATTATGTGACATGACATTATAAGTCTAAACACTCCGCTTTACCAAGGAAAATGCTCAAGAAAAGAAGCCATTATTCAACATGTCATTTCGTTCTTCTCATCCTTCCTGAGAACCAAAAGCCTAAAATTTTCAAACGCATAAACACAAAAAATCCGAGGGGTTTTGTTACTCTGCTATTATATTCGACCAGTTGCCAGCTTTTCTTTCATTAGAAGCTGCTAATGACATGACATTAGCAGAATCATAGGTGCTACAGGAGTTCGGTATCATAAATAGCTACTGAACAGGCATACGGATTCCTCACATTTTCAGTTAAATTGACAGCCAGATTCCACAATACATTAACTAGACAAAAACTTGGAAATGTAAGAAGAGGGTTGTGCTGGTGGAGAAGATGGGGCCGGGAAAGGGACCAAAAATAAATAAATAATGACTAGTTTTCATGGTACACAGCGTCTGCAAATTAATGAGCATTGTGTGACAAATGAGATAGAGTGGGAGAGAAAGGGACAAAGCACTTGAGAGCCTGAGAAAGTATGAGAGTTTGAGACGAATGCAGATAGAAAACTGTTTTCGATCAGTTATATGAGATGTGGCAGTTGGGAATCGGGAGATTTAACGTGAGAGTGAGACGGTCAAGGGAAAAGAGATGTGAGAGAGGGACAAAGGATCATGAGAGGATGGGGAGTTTTACCCGGGAAGTTAATAATAAATTGACCACTAATAACAAATAATAATAGACTACTAATTAACTACTAATAACCAACGGGCCTTTGATCCAATGGTATTCCTTGTCTTATGAAGATTTTGTCTTCTTGAGGTCAATGGTTCAATTCTCTCCTCCCCCTTTCCCCAAAAAAAAAAAATTAACTACTAGTAAAGGGACAGGACACCAAACCCCTCCTCTCCCTTTATTGATAGCATAGCTGATAAACAAATCAAAATCATCAGAAAAAAGAAATTGACCCCTGAACGTTAGCTACTAAGAACTAACCGGTCTCGAGTCATGATCTGCATTTCTCCGAGATTCCTGGTCAGAACTTCTCTTTGAGATATCGGACCCATGGCGGTCATCTTCTCGATATCGCTTCCGATGAAAATCTGTTTTCTCGAAAAACACACAAAAGACAATAAAATCTAAACTAATAAATCACACAAAATATAGAAATCCCCTTAACCAAGAACCATAACCATACCTCTACCATGCCGATGAGAGCCACTGTGACCATGGCTTCCACCATGTCTCCCATCTGCGCAGCTTAAAGGTCAGCTGTTGCAGTAACAGAGGCATTGATGCAAACTAGCAAGAAGCATCACAATTCAAACAAGTTTCACACCAACCACCCCACACGTCAGTCAAGAGGTTAAGCAGTCAACTTGTATTTTCATAGTTCACATGTTAATCCCCATAAGGGTTTTCAAACAGGTGAACAAATACCTGGTCATTATAAGATTGCATTGACCTTCTGTGGAAAGAATCTATTTCCCAATCTTGTGAAAATAAATCTAAATTCATCTCAATGTATAATATGCAGAGAAACTTACAAGTAGTCACAAATGTGCAATTCAACCAAAATTTATTGAAAGGAAATAGTAATCTTCCTAAGAGAAATATGAGACCTGGCTTAGCTTCGCAAGAAGACTCAAAGATAGACTCTTTTATAGCTCTTGGAAAGGACTAGTCTTAACTTCCTAGCTAGGGCTGACAATAATATGGATCATATTCTGGACCCTAAAGTACACTTTTTTCAAGATTATACTGATCTGCATCATGCAGGTAGCTTGATTGCCTTTTCTTCTAGTCAAAAGTTTTATCTTTTGAATCAACAACAAAATCCTTCTCATTGTATCACCATGGATGTGGAATGCGTAGCTGTGAAATGTGAAACTACACTTGCTTTTATTTCAACTTTAAACAAAAAATTCCAAAGACCCATACAATAATTCCAATATTCCAAAGTTTTTCAGAATATTCTCTTAGCATAAGAGCAATTTACTGAATGACTCTTTAATAAGAAGGGACAACTGATCAATTTCTTAGTAGTGTAAAAACAAGAGAAATGTGCATGAAGTTGCTCCTGAACTTACAGTGAGGAGGCATAACAGGTGGGAAGGACGCCAATGATCCGGTACCATAATCTACTAGCTGCCTTTGCGCTTCCAACTCTCTCTGAACCAATTTTCCATAACCACCCCTGCGTAGGACTAGTCAAGGAAACTCAAGAAGCAGTTCAGTTTTTCCCAACTATTTGAGATCAACAACCAAGGAGATAGAGGAATCACTTGGTAAGACATGAACCGTCCCTATATTACATGCTAAAGTTCAAGTGATAGTATGATATACGCCATGAAGAAAATTGGATGAAAATATGAATTTATATAAGTAAACCATGAAAATAAAAAGAGTCAAAGATTAACCACACAATTTAAATCTAAGAATGAACAAAACAAATAGAAATTTAAAAAGTAGATCTCGAAAGAGCTATTGGTCATCAGAATGATTTAAACCTGACAATGTACTCAAGCATCTCAAATTTAAAAGGAAACAGATCACCAATCCTTGATCTATGAAGACCAGGCTAAAAGTTAAAAAAGAACCAATCACTCTAAACAGCCACCCCAACCAGTAAAGTCATCTGTGCCTATTCTTCCAAAGTTGTCAAGTGGAAATCAGATTAGTAACCTAGTACAAGTTAATGACAAATAAAAATATCACAAAAAGGTCTAGCATTGGATTGGAAAAGAAATGGAACAAAAAACTATAAGATCTAGATGTAATTTACATAAGCATTATAATAAATAAATGAATGAATATAAAAGACGATGCAACCTGCCTAAGGTACTTAAAATGAGAAATGTATTAGTTTTTGTAACAGATAATGAAAAGACAAAGAAGAGGAAGGGAAGAAGATGAGATAAATGGACAAGAGTAAGGAAGACAAATAATGAAGATAAGGAAAAATAAGAGAAGATGCTCAAAGAAAAGATATGAGAGATATGTGAGAATGAGTAGAAAGATTGAGAGAGAGAGGCTCTAGCGAATAGTATCCAATTTTCTTCCATTTTCAATGCCCCATTATATGGCACCAAGGCCATTTGTGAAGTAAAGAAAATTCTATAACATTATGAGACTATATAAAACTAACCTGTCCCAGGTGACAAAACCCCAATTTCAGTGCCGGACCACTAGAATGCACAAGTTTTCAGGCCATTTTTGAAAAAATATAAATTAGCATGTGGTATGAAGTAAGATGCACACTAATATAATTAATTAAGTCCTTAATTCCCTATATTAATTTCAAACCCCCTATGCCCCTGACCCGGCCCAACCCACAGCAGGGGGAAGGGGACAATAGTTCCCATGCGCCCCAATGTAATATAGACCCAGATAAGGCAATTCAAGGTTTACTCAGATATTACATCCTTCTACTGTAGACAAATGTAGTATAACATAGGCAAAGTGCAAGAAAAAGAGGTGCAGGCAAGCACCAATGAAATCCAATTGCATAGAAAACACCAACCATCACCTAAAGATGACTGCTCTTTGGTGACGGGATAGGATATAAGGTACTGCTAAGTGCCAAACAAAAAACAGAAGAACATGAAATTGTTAGTACTCAAGATGGTTGGGCCATACATAAAGATCATGGATGGTTCAAAACACTGGGTCGATACCAATACGAACCAACCGAGTCGTATTCGACTTGACACTTTTTGTTCCAACATCGATACATGTTTCTTGCAAACCATGAGTCCCACTCAGTCTGTGGTTGACTGGGAGACGTAACAAACGATTCGGTCGACTCATCGTTCCACAACACTGGGATACGGTTTCGCAATGCCGTAGTAAGGTTGCCTCTCTCCTTATGCCCAACTTCTTATATCCTTCCTTTTGTGAGTATCACCTGATACCATTCCACACCGCGACCGTTAAGTCTCAATACCATTCAAGTCGATAGTCAACACTACAACCTTACTTTTGTAAATGAAATTGGCAATAGAACCAACCGAGATGTCTTATGAATTGGTAAAGTTAATAAATGAACTTGAAAGAAAAAATATACATTTAATTCAAGAGTTACAATCTAGAATTATTGGACGGAAAGTTTTGTGATATGGCAATCTCGAAACTCTGGAACAAACAATAACAGCACCATCACTACACTTCAATCACAAAGAACTTGCTTGATTACTTGACCTATAAATAGTAGAACTTATGGCACGCAAGTTATATAGATATATGCTTTCAAATCAGCACAATCTGGTTTTCTTCTGCTCTTGCAAGCTAAAATTATCTACCTGGTTTACCCAATTGCAAGCTATCTAAAACATGAAACATAAAACAAAACAGCCGCACTACGGACAAAAGGGTAGCTGAATCCCAAAGTAAGCATACAAAAAATTGTGCTTCATTAAAATAATGAATAAAAAACAATGCACATGAAACACATCAGATTGGATGAAGAAAACAAATGTACATAATCGAAGTAAAACTTGAAAGGATATCTGGATCGTAGTCCGTACGATACTCATCTCGTACCTGAAAAAGAAGATATGAATCAGATAAAGTTCCAGGGCAAACCTATAGCAATAAATGGCATGCACAACACCTGTCCACCACTTCGACCACGTCCCCATTGCCTGCCTTCTTGAAATCCCCAATCAAAATCTACTCGAATAGGGCGATCATCAAGAATTGTCCCGCTTATATACTTGACTGAATCTTCGGCATCCTCTCTAGAGTAGAACCTGATAGGCAGAGAGTTTGAAACTTATCAAAGGTTTGATTACTACTGTCATTCTCAATGATTTTGCTGAAAGAGGAAGATTATGATTATCGAATTGCTGCAGAAAACAGTGGCATCCATGACTCTTAAGAATGAAGAAACAAATTTAAACAATCCGAAGGAATGAAATTTACTGCAAATGTAAATGCAGCCAACCACAAACTCAAGCAACATGCCAATCTATGACATAAATTTCTAAGAGACTCAAATTTCCTCACAGAATCCGACAAAACAGCTAATGTACGAACTTGTTGAACAAGCAGCTACAGGCTAAAATGAGATTGGCAGCTGAGGTTTTCACTGCATATAAAAAGGCCTGTATTGCCCCGTTATTCCGGATAGCATTTTACACCTAAATTCTTTGATTTAACCACAGTGGCAATAGCTAGAAACCACCCTTAGTTCATCATGCGTACAAACAGAGAAAGTACGCCAAAATATCAAAATCAAAAGAAAATCAAAGTTGAAACCAAAATCTTAATGAGTGGCAAAATAGACAGGCCAGAAGAGATGGTATAAATCAAACAGAGAAAATCCAATTCCATCCACACATCATAAACTTAGGAAAAGATATACTTACTCTTGGTTTGACGAAGAACCAACATTCAATATTTTTAAGATAGCCATGCAAGAATATCTTGTAAATGGTCCATCACCTTGGTTAAAGCAATCAAAGAAAAAAACTAAGAGCCATAGGACAGTGACTGAAACTGAAGATTAGGGTTTAAGAATTTATTTTAGCATTATTTTCTTGACTAGGACTTATTGGTTTTGTTTTATTGATTTAGGAGTTCAATATTATTCTAATGTTTTATTTTTGGGAAGTCTTAACTAGGCTATTTAGGGTTACTTATAAAGAGGCCTTATGGGTAATGGGTTAAAAAGAAGACAAAATTACTGAACAAATATTAAATTGCTTTAAAAATGTATCAATCTTTTTTACTTTGATTCTAATTGATATTTTTTTCCTCATGAATTTTGCTCCATGCATGCAGCGCAATCCATTCTTCTCCTTCTTAGCCTACATTAACCTCTTTGTACGGTAAAGTTAGAACAAACATCATATCAAGAAAACACTCAAGAAAATCTGAGATCACCAAGAACAGTATTAGAACTAGAAGTAATAATGAAAAAAAAAAATTAAGGGGAGATGAACAAATAAAATCTATTCTTCTATTAGGTGGACAAATAAATATACAGATGGTGATAAAATGTAACTCCGCTTGTGTTGAGTTTTAGTGCCTATCTTTTTCACAACTAATCTCAAGCACATATAAAGGAGAAGGGTTGCATTAGCTAGTTGACAACCAGTGTAAAATTTTGTCAGATCCAATATGAACATGAATCCAAATAATATACGCATAAATACTAGGGCATTCTCCTTAAGCAATGTGTTGCACTCGTACTCCTATATTTCAAAAAATGGACAAGGGCCACCACATTATAGTCGCCCAAATGCGGTGGAAAATATGCAAGGGTTCCCGCGTCACTTTAGACAAACGCGATAAAAAAAGTTAGTTCAAATACTAAGCTTAGGTTAGCAACTTAGAATATAGGAAAACTTAGTCACTTACACGTAAAGGAACAGAGTCAGTTGAAACTATGATTAGGAGAAAAGTTAACATAGCATGCTTACAAGAAATCAAATAGGTAGGAGAGAATTAGAAAACACAGAGTAAAAACGTTACTATACTAGAAAAAATAAATATAGAAATGGAGTTGAAATAATAGCAGATTGTTAAAAATATTAGTATGTGTAAACTGTTAATAGTTAGAGGGTGTATGTGTAATTCATATTATTGTGAGTTAACTATAAATACAAGTGATGTATGAGAGTTAGGTTAAGTTTTTAACCTCTCTCTTTCTCTCTAATATTGTATTATGTTAATTCTCTCAACTTAACATGGTATCAGAGCAAGGTTATTCCAAATACAAATATTAACCCAAACTAGTGTTGTTGTTGTCAGTGTAGTGTTGCTGTCATTGGTGTAGTCGACGTTGGTGATGTCGACTTGGTGGTGTCTGGGTTTTGCTTCGTGGTGATGCAGAGTTTTGCTTCGTGGTGGTGCAGTCGACTGGTGAAGTTTATCCTTTTTTTTTCCTTCGTGGTGGTGCAGTCAACCTTGGTGGAGTCTGATTTTTGCCTCGTGGTGGTGTGTGACTAACGTTCGCAGTGGTCTGCGGTGGTGTTTGGTGTTGTGGTGGTGTTCTCTTGGCGCAATCAACAGGGAAGGAATAGGGTTTGGTAGAAACCCTAATTAGTGAAGGAGACGGCTTAGTTTAAGTGAGTCAGTTTACGAGTTTGGGTAAAGGATCCAAGTCCACGAGCATAACTATTCTTAAAACCAGATCCAGACCCTGATCCAAGACCAGACCGGTCCAAACTAGACTAGACCAGTCCGAATCATTCTTCCAGCAGCCTCTTTTTCTCTGGTTTAGCATTGCAGCACTTCTTGTTTCCTATTTGCTGCACTGTAATGGAACCCAAGCAAGATACTAAGTCTCTTACTCTGTCTTTGCCATCCCTTACTCTTATCAATGGTCCTATGACCTCGGTTAAACTCAATGGGACCAATTATACTTTATGATCCCGATTCGCTCAAGTCTTTCTTCGAGACAAAGGATTTAAGAGATATTTGATAGATCCTAAACCCAAAGAAGATACTCCTGGGTATGATCAGTGGGAACAAGAGAACGCTCAAATTATGTCTTTATTACTGAATAGTATTGAGCCTAATATTAGTTCTACTCTACTCTACCTTGACACTGCCAAGGAGATATGGGATCACTTGGCCACTATGTATTCTAGTACAAATAATTTTACCCGAACTAATGAGATGTGCAAAGAGTACTTCCGACTAAAACAGAGTACTCTGAGTATTGAGAATTATTACTCTCATATTCGGGTTGTTTGTGAGAAGATGAAGACCTACCATCCGTTTACTACTGATGCAACAGTTTGACAAAAACAACATGAGGACATGAATGTTGTTAGGTTTTTAGTAAGATTGAAACCTGAATACGAGGCTATTCGTTCGCAGATTTTGAGTGGTTCTAGTCTTCCCTCACTACTTGAGGTTTTCTCTCGTGTACAGTGTGCTACTTTGTCTATTTCAGGTATCAATCATGGTGTCTCCACTGATCACTCAGCTTTTATGGTTCCTAGTAGCCACTGTGATGGTCCTCGAGGAGGTCATGGTGGCCGTAATGGTCGTGGTGGTCGAGGAGGTCATACTGGTGGTCGTGAGGGCCGTAATGGACCTCGTTCCTTTACTCACTATGACCGTGGAGGGCACACTATTGATTTCTGTTGGGATTTACATGAAAAACTTTCAGATGCTGCGAATCAGGCTTCCTATCAGGATGGCACCTCTGTTGCTGCTTCTATACCTCGGTCAGCTCCACCAGATTACACGAGAGGAGTATACTCAATTCCTGTCCCAACAACAGGTTGTCTCATCTCCCACCACCGCAACTTTTGCCCAGTCAGGTATTGTTTTCACTTGTCTATTGTCGTCCACTCGCAGTCCCTAGATCATAGACTCTGGTGCGTCTGACCACATGACTAGTGCGTCTAACCACATGACTGGTGCGTCTGATATTTTTTCTACTTATCAGTTTGATATTTCTACACGTAGTGTTACTCTTGCTAATGGTACTTGTTCTAAAATTTCAAGTCTAGGGACTACTCACTTAAGTCCTGATATGTCCCTATCTTCTGTGTTATTTGTTCTTCAGTTTCCTTTTAATTTACTTTCTATTAGCAAGATTACCCGTTCTCTCAATTGTTCTGTAACTTTTTATTCCTCTTATTGTGTCTTTCAGGATCTCAAGGCGAAGAGGAAGATTGGTTCGGGACATGAAGCAAGTGGCCTATATTACTTTGATTTTGATTCACCTACTCGGGCTCTACAGACCTCGTTGTCTCCTTTTCAATGGCATTGTTGTCTTGGACATCCCTCTCTCCAGAATCTGAAGTGCTAAGTTCCAGTCTTAGTTTTATGTCGTCTTTGTCTTGTGAAGCTTGTCAACTTAGTAAACATCATCGTGTGTCATTTCAGTCTAGAGTCAATAATCGTGCATCTAGTCCATTTGAATTGGTGCGTTCTGATGTATGGGGTCTAATAAAGAATACTTCATCTAATAAATATCCTTATTTTGTGTCATTTGTAGATGACTATTCTCGTGTGACTTGGTTGTTTCTGATGAAAATTCGATTTGAATTATTCTCTATATTTGAGACAATTCGTAAAGAAATAAAAACTCAATATGGCTGTCGCATATGTATTTTACGTTTTGATAATACTCAAGAATATGAATCTGATCCTTTTTTAGCTTATCTTAGTAAAACTAACATTATTCATCAGACTGCATGTGCTTACACATCTCCACAGAACGGTGTTGCTGAACGCAAGAACCGTTATTTGTTGGAAGTCACCTGTGCCTTGTTATTCTAGATGAATATTCTCTGATATTTTTTGAGTGATATTGTTCTTACTGCTTGTCACCTTATTAATCGTATGTCATCCTCTATGTTAAATGGGCAAAGTTCATATTCTGTCATTTTTCCTGGTAAGCCTTTATTTTCCCTAACTCCTAAGGTTTTTGGATATCTGTTATATTCACAATTTGGGTCCTGGGTTTGACAAACTTGACCCTCAAGCTACCAAATCTGTATTTCTTGGTTATTCCCACACACAGAAGTGGTATCGTTGCTACAGTCCTTCTCTACGACCTACTTTACTAGTGCCGATGTCATATTTGAGGAATCTATTTCACATTTTCCAGCACCTTCCCAGCCTTTGGATTTGAACTTCAGGTCATCTCTTCCCTCATCTTCAGATATTTTGCTGCCCACTGTGTTACCATCTACTTTACCTTTTCGTGTATACTCTCGTCATCCTCAACCATCGCCTAAGGTGTCTGTACCGTGTTCCTTGCCGCCTTCTAATCCTGGTCCGTCAGGTAATTTAGACTCTTTACCTATTACTCTTCAAAAAGGTACTCGTTCGTGTGTTATTAATTATCTCATTACTCATTTTGTTTCATATGATGCCTTGTCTCCTGTCTTCTCTTGTTTTACCTCTCAATTATCTACTATATCTATTCCTAAGCATTTACAGGATGCATGATCTAATCCGAATTGGAGGAAAGCTATGGAGGATGAGATTGATGTCTTACATCATAATGAAACTTGGGATCTCATTCCTTTACCTCTTGGTAAACGAACTATTAGTTGTCGTTGGGTGTATGCTGTTAAATTTCATCCGGATGATTCTGTAGAGCGTCTCAAAACCCGGCTTATTGCAAAGGACTTTTCTCAGACCTATGGTTTTGATTATGAGGAGACTTTCTCTCTTGTTGCCAAAATTTCCTCTGCTCGTATCTTGATTTCTTTGACTGCTAATCTTGATTGNAATGGTGTTGATTATGAGGAGACTTTCTCTGTTGTTGCCAAAATTTCCTCTGCTCGTATCTTGATTTCTTTGACTGCTAATCTTGATTGGCATTTGTTTCAGTTAGACGTCAAGAATACTTTCCTATATGGTGACTTGGTTGAAGAGGTATACATGGAGCAGCCACCTGGGTTTACTGCTCAGGGGGAGTATGGTAAAAGTGTATGTCGGTTAAAAAAATCTTTGTATGGTTTGAAACAGTCATCGAGGGCATAGTTTGGTAAGTTTTCAAATACAGTTTTAGAGTTTGATCTTCTTCGATGTAAGACAGACCATTCTATATTTCATAGACAGACGGGTGCTGGATATGTTCTATTGGTAGTTTATGTAGATGATATTGTGATCACTGAAAATGATTCTGAGGGGATTGCTAAGTTAAAAATCTTCTTGCAAGATCGATTTCATACTAAGGATTTAGAAAAACTCAAATATTTTTTGAGAATCGAAATGGCTCGATATAAACAGGGTATTTGTTTATCACAGAGGAAATACGCGCTTGACATGCTAAAGGAAGCAAGTTTGTTGGGTNAGAAAAACTCAAATATTTTTTGAGAATCGAAATGGCTCGATATAAACAGGGTATTTGTTTATCACAGAGGAAATACGCGCTTGACATGCTAAAGGAAGCAAGTTTGTTGGGTGGCAAACCGATTGATTTTCCTATGGATCCGAATCAGAAACTATTGATGGATGATAGTGCACTATTTGAGAATCCGAGTTGNGTGGCAAACCGATTGATTTTCCTATGGATCCGAATCAGAAACTATTGATGGATGATGGTGCACTATTTGAGAATCTGAGTTGATATCGCAGATTGGTTGGGAAACTTAATTATCTCACTATTACTCGACCGGATATTTCCTATGCAGTCAGTATAGTAAGTCAATTCATGGGGTGTCCTAGAGTACCACATTGGGAGACAGTTAGTCGTATTCTGCGATATCTCAAACAAACTCCTAGCCTTGGACTATTATATCAAGCTAATGAACATCTTAGAGTAGAAGGTTTCTCAGATGCTAATTGGGTTGGCTCTCCTNGCGATATCTCAAACAAACTCCTAGCCTTGGACTATTATATCAAGCTAATGAACATCTTAGAGTAGAAGGTTTCTCAGATGCTGATTGGGCTGGCTCTCTTTCTGATCGAAGATCAACCACTAGTTATTGTACTTTCTTAGGAAGTAACGTTGTCTCATTAAAAAGTAAGAAACAATCTGTGGTAGAAAGATCTAAGGTTGAGTATAGGGTCATGGCGCATACAACAAGTGAATTAACTTAGCTATTACACTTCCTCTAGGAAATTGGGTTTCTAATTCAACTTCTTTTACAGTTGTTCTGTGACAACCAGGCAACTATTCATATCACTGTCAATTCGGTGTTTCATGAGAAAACCNAAGTAACGTTGTCTCATTAAAAAGTAAGAAACAATCTGTGGTAGAAAGATCTAAGGCTGAGTATAGGGTCATGGCGCATACGACAAGTGAATTAACTTAGCTATTACACTTCCTCTAGGAAATTGGGTTTCTAGTTCAACTTCTTTTACAGTTGTTCTGTGACAACCAGGCAACTATTCATATCACTGTTAATTCGGTGTTTCATGAGAAAATCAAATATATTGAGGTTGATTGTTATTTTATTCAGGACAAGATAATAGCCGGGGAGATTACAACTCCATTTTTGAAATCTAAAGATCAACTTGGAGATATATTTACCAAAACATTGAGTCGTACACGTCTTACAGCGATTTGTTCTAAACTTGGATTATATGATAAATATAATCCAGCCAGAGAGAAAGTGTTAAGAATATTAGGGTAGTATGTGTAAATTATTAATAGTAAGAGGGTATATGTGTAATTCTTATTATTGTGAGTTAACTATAAATACTAGTAATGTATGAGAGCTAAGTTAAGTTTTTAACCTCTCTCTAATATTGTGTTATGTTAATTCTCTTAACACAGATCAACATCTTAAGCAAGATGTAGTGACTGATCTTAGGAAAGGAGATAGAACAAAACTAATTAAGTTTATTANAAGTTAAGTTTTTAACCTCTCTCTTTCTCTCTAATATTGTGTTATGTTAATTCTCTTAACACAGATCAACATCTTAAGCAAGATGTAGTGATTGATCTTAGGAAAGGAGATAGAACAAAACTAATTAAGTTTATTATAGGAGAAAATATAATAAATACTATTAGTGCTTATGCACCTCAAGTAGGATTGGATGAACATATTAAAACTCAGTTTCTAGAATATTTAGATGAATTAATGAGAGAAATACTTGTAGGGGAGAGTATACATCGGATGAGACTTTAATGGTCATATAAGACAAGATCAGAAAGGATATGCGATAGTTTATGGTAGACATTGGTCGGAGATGGGAATGATGTTGGAGAGTTTATTTTAGAATTTACGGTGGCATATTACCTTATGATAACCAACACCTATTTCAAAAAGAGAGATGAACACTTAATAACCTTTAAAAGTGAGTTAAATAAAATAGATCGTTTATCATGTACGGACTCTACGACCATTCCAGGAGAAAGTTTGACTACAACATTTTTAATAAAAAACAACCCTTTCATTTCGTGCTTCATTGGGTTTAAAGTACAATATACTTTTAAGAAATCAAAACTAATTAAGGGATTATTGATCTTTACAAAGTCTGATACGAAATAATAATCTCACAACATCTCCAACCACAAACACGAAGTTCAAATTGCCATCTTACCCTAGTGTTTATCGTTGTTAACCCACTTAAAAAACAATGATCATGATGAAGAATCGAATATCTCCTCTCAGGATCCACTCTTTGAGAATAAGTTGAGATTGAACCTCCAAACAAGGCAAACAACTGGAAATTCACTACCATTAAAAATTATAATTAAAATAAGCCAAAATCCAAATTGTGCAAAAAAGTTTCTCTCACGTGATTATGTCTTTCAAGTTAGTGGATATTTAATTTATTATTAGCAGTTTTAAAGTTTTCTTCCTTCCTTATTCCAATGCTACTTTGATTCTTCTTTTTTCTCGATTAGTGGCACCAGTTAAAATCTAAACTAAGTGTAAAATGATTTGAAAAATACAATTGTGACAATTCCTATTTCAAAAACCAACTTAATGAATAACGCCAATTTCTCTCTATTTCTTCATGGATAACGTAATAAAAAGGCTAGCATATGGTGAAACAATGTTCAACCCAAGTTTAAATCTACATAACCAATCCTACGGAATATTGATCAAACTAAGGCTAATATTCCTATATTTCTTGGCAGATGGTGCGCTGACACAAAAGTTGGCATGTAATAAAACCCAATAAATACTCCTTGCTTCGGTGATGGATTGGACTCACTCAGCATCAACCAGTTTAATAACCCAAAATCAGACCCAAATCAGCCACTCACAAACACACAGTGAGAGAGACAGAAACTTTCGAATAAAAAGCAAGTAAAGAAACAAACACCATTCCACTAACACTATTGCTGAAAAAATAAAGGTCAATTTCAAGATTATTCCCACTAATTGAGAATGGTCGCAGAGGTGTGCTGGGCACAATACTAAGGTTGATAGACACAAAATGGTGGCCCTCGGTTTTGAACCCCCAACCTTGCAGCTATTAGCCTGTGTATTTCATTCACCACTTCATTATGCATTAGGGAGTGACCTTAAAATTGTTGACACAATATATTCCAAAATTTAGAAATAAAAGTTCAATGTAGACAGTTGCTATAGCATTAGGATTCTTTTCAACACTAAATTATCTCAATTCCATACCACTTACCATATATTGATACAGAAACGACTTGAACAAAAGAAGGCCACTTAAATTCATGGTGACCAATCAAGAATTGAGATAACTAAGGGATTTGGTACTGGAGTGGCTCGGAATCCAATGTTATACACTCAAATTGACAGGTGCAAAATATGATTATTTGATCAAATACTATCGTTTCGTATCAAAAAAAAACAGTTAATGTGTGCAAAATCCGAAACCAAACAATTACTAATCTACTAATCTTGTCACCGAGTCAGACCCATCCAGCAAAATATTAGCCTCCACTCCAATGCCCAAATCCACCTTACCATCCAAATGAGGCATTAAACAGGAGTGGTCACCCAGTTTACTCCCTTTAGACGAGGAAAGTAGAAGAGGTGGTGTGGCAGACAGAACTTTCAACATTACTTGTTTAATTACCATTGGAGCAATGCTCGTTACGAACATACAACAATTTCCAAAAACAACAAAAGTAAAAACTACGGAAAAAAATCAAAAGAAAATGGAATTGGGGTCTTACATAACAAAGCAGAACCCACAAGGAGTCTTTGTGTTCTTATCCAAACCCATGACAATTTTCTTAATTTCTCCAGCTCGAGAGAACAACTCATAAACTTGCTCCTCCGTCGTATAAAATGACATGTTCCCAATATAAAGAGTGGTGGAGTCCATAAGAGCTTGTTCGAACTCTTCTTGTGTTCCTGGAAACCTTCTGTCCCTATAAGCCGACAGCTTGTTCGGATCCTAACATTGGAAAAACCCACAGGTAAGCAAAATAACATAAACAGAGATTCGCATACCACACTCATAATTACCTTGAAAAGAGACGCCATTGTGCTCTTTTGAGAATCAAAACGGTGGACTTTCTTGTATTTTATCACCCAAACCCTAACCCTTCGTCTGTGTGTTTGAGAGAGAGAGAGAGGCTACTGAAATTACTATAACACTGTTGGAGAATTTCTAACCACCGTAGTATTACAAAGGATCTGCTCTGGTACCATTTTTCAAATTCTCACCGCATTTTCATTTTGTAAGGAAAAAAAAAAAAAGCCAGCACCTGAATATAAAAAGGTAATTTCTACAAGGGCAAATTCCAGTTTATACCTTGAAATATACATATTTTTTCACTTTGTACCTTAAAAGATTAATTACCTCATATTACACCCTCAATATAATATACTTGTTGCAATGTGCACCTCTCATCATATTCCGTTTTCTATTTCCATCAACTCCCAGCCGCATGTGAGAAGCATATGCTCCCCATTGGACAAAATAGTAAAACACCATCTTAGGCCCTACTGTTTGCCCTAAAAAACCTGAAGAGGAAGCCTTTGTTAATGCTGTTTGATCCAAGTTCACCACCATGGCTAGGTAGCTCAATTTGTAGAGATCAAATCTCCTTAAAAACTACTCAAAATTTCATTTGGGGAATAGTAAAAAACTTAATAATTGCCTTTTGCACGGGGTGAATGTGACGAGGACTTGGCTTTGATGATTTTAAGAAGGTGTTGGAGCGGTTTTATGACGACCCAATTGAAAGAACTATTGAAAAAACCCCTCTGGCCATGAGGGTTTGATCTTGAATTCTGATAATCATGGGGTTGTTTGATAAGTATAGAATTTCTGTGAGGAATTATGATGAAATTGGTTTGGGTTTCAGAGATGATGGAACCCAAACGACAACAGAGTAAAATGCATCGACAATAGGAATTTGCATCCAATAATTTGTTGGAAATTGAAAGAACAATAACATCTGGCAATCGATCAAATTGATCTTGTTCTTGGTGGATAGGATTACAACCCATTTTCTTTCTTTTTAGCTGTTAAGTTATGAATGGATGAGGTCAAATAGCAAGAGGGGTTTCAACTTTGTCTTATGTTCTTCTTTTTTTTCTTCTTTGTTCCTAGGTCTTCTCTATAAATCGATTATAGGGCAAAACTAAGACAGATCTAAGGCAAGCAAATAGTGGGGTCTAAGGAGGTGTTTTACCATTTTGTCCAGAGGGAGCATGTGCTTCTCACATGCACGTGGGAGTTGATGGAAATAAAAACAGAATTTGACAACGGGTGCACATTGCAACGAGTATATTAGATTGACGGTGCAATGTGAGACAATTAATCTTTTAGAGTATAAAGTGAGAAAAGATGTATCTTTCAGGGTGCAAAGTGAGATTTGCCCTCTCTATTATTCAATTTTTTGATATTTAGGTTATAATAGAATAATCTTACGGCATTATCTATTGCATATTATATACAAATTAATTTCATATATAAATATTAGTTATTACTCGTGTTTAAAGACATTATTTAAAAAAATACACTTGAAAACAATGTATAACACAAAATACAAAATAACACAAATCCACCATTCAAAAAAATTCAATAAAATAAACTCCAAAAGCACAACCCTTTGACAATATTAATTGCATACACAAATTGTATAATCAAAATAGTAAATAATACAAATGTTTACTTTAAAAAAAAATGACTCACGTCACGGTCTTTCATAATATAAACCTCTCCAAAATGTTCTTCCGCTCTTGGGATGTTCGTCCACTCTTTGGAGTAATTCACAAAACTCTATTTTTCATAGAGAATTGAATGGAGTGCCAAAAATATTTTACTTTTTTATTTTTTGAATTAAAAAATATTTTACTTGAATTAAAAAATTAGAATAAGTGGGACTTAAAAAATTAGAATAATTTTGTATTAAAAAACTAAAATTCTATATTGCTCGCATTAATCCAAAAATTAAAATTACATAACACAAAAAAAATCATTCAATCACTTGATGAAATCATAAATGAAAACAGGTGATTAATTATTTCAGCCATGGCCCAAACTTGGTCATGATCCACACTAGCATACTCTAGATCCACCTCCCATGACCTTAACATTAAACAAGATTAATTTTACTTTAAGTGGTAATAAAAATGAGCTGCAAAACAGGATATTTTGAATTCAAATCTTAGCAAACTCCATAGGGTCAGGCTATGAGGATTTATCTCTCATGAATTTTCTAGTTTCAGCATGGATGGTTTGCGTTTGACCAAATTGAAGATGAGATTAATCGAAATGTGCGTAAGTTAGCATGAACACTCCTGATCATTAAACTAAAAAAAAATTAAATAATAGTGGCATTGTGAAAATGGATTGGAATAAACTCTTATACCCCTCATGGCTAATTGAAATTATAAATAGTTCTCTCATAACTTCTGAAATTATACTTACCCTTTTTGGAGTTTATTAATAATGGCCCCTTTAGTTTTACCCGCCTCACTCAAAAATATGTTTTTAATTCTAAAAATAACATAGTAGCTAAAAACACTCACATGCTAAGCTTATTCTAAAAACAACATAGTTGCTAAAAACACTCACAGGCAAAGCTACACACGGGCAAAAGTGGGCTGTGGTCCAGCCTCAATTTTTTTTTAAAAAAAATATTATATGTTTACCTACATTTATATATTCTAGGCATTATACATATAATTTTTACTTGTACAATGGTGATAATTAGTCATTTTTATACATATTATTTTTTGACCTTTTTATGTTAAATAGACTTCATATATCAAATATGATGTAATAAATATAAATATATTATATAATGTAACTGATTAGGAGGGAAAAAATTAGAGTCTCTAATTAAAATGTCCACCATAAACAAAATTCTGACTCTGCCCTTGCAAACACCTCTCATTCTCCATAGAATAAACATATTCTTGTTTCCCAATGCCACTTCCTTATTTTCTTCTTCTCTCTGACTCAAATCTCTCCAGTAACTTCCCCCCAACCTCTACCTTGTAAGCTAACCTATCTTTCTTCCTCTAATATTTTCTCCTTGAACCACGCTTTCTACTTGTGTTTAACTATACACCCCTAACACTTGCACCCACCCATTACAAACGTGTGCGACATGCGATATTATTACTATCACCATCATCCCTCCTTATCACCTCATTACTGTTGTCACCATCTCCAATGCAAAAGCAATAGCCGTCGTCATTTGTAGCGTTGTCACCAACTTTGTCATTATCACTACGACCACCATTAGCCTCACCACTACCACCTTACCACAACCACCACGGTTACAAGGCTGATGGTGGGGAGAAGGTGGAGATAGTAATGGTGGTGCCGAACATAGCAATAGTGGTTGTGGTAAGGTGATGGATAACATGGTTTTGAAAATCAATTGAGACGTCATAATGACCATTACGTAACGGTATCAAGAACTATCAATATCGTTGCACCTGATTTAACGGTCAAAAAAAATTTCACACTCGTAACGGGTGTAACTATCGTTACAATAGCCTTACACCACGTTATTTACTCCTAACTAATAGAGTTATATACTAAAAACTTGTTTTTTGTAATGAAACTTAAGTTATTATTTAATAAAATTTCTTTGTTTCCTATGTCAATGAGAATTTATGTGGGTAAAATATTTACATTATATTAGATATATGATATGCATGTGTGTCTTTTATTTACTTTGTAGATAATGTAATGTGTAAACTTCGGCTTATTTATAAAAGATTAGATTATCAAATCCATGTATGATATAAATAAAGGTTCACAGTCTTAGATGAAATTAGACACACTATCAGTATGATTGTAATATAATCTTCTAGCATTGTTTGTCTCGGCTATAGGAGACTGTCTGATGTCTTACATTATTGCACTTGTACACTTTGTGTATTGGATAAGACTATTATTGAGGTTATTTTATTTTTACTGACTAAATAAAAAAATAAATACCTCATGGTTATTATGATTTTTTAAACTCTTAATCCTGAGATGTTTAATTGACACTTGCATATAATGATTGTTACTTTAATTTATAAAACAATGAAATTCATATTTGAGTCAATAAACTCAATGAATTAGGAGATGACATTATTTGTATGGTATAAATTAATTATTAAATGAAATTATGTCCTGGTATTTAAATGGGTTGATGATGTCCTCTTGAGAAAGCTCATAAATTTTATTTATGTCAAACCCTGCACATAAATTTAATTATTTAACATAACAAATACGTTGAGCGACAAGATCTCAAGGATAAAAAAAATTCTATTAAATATAATTGTCATTAATTTAATTAATTGGCATACATCTGTAAATTTAAATGTGTAGAGATTATTAAGCATATAATAATAAGGAGTTCAAAATATAATTTTGAGATAAGACTCAGGAGATCAATAATAAGTTTTTAATGGATTAACTTATTATTAATGGACCATAGGATGCTTGTTCAGAGTTGGACATAGGATTCCTAGGCCCATTGGAAGCCTGACCCTTGTTTCTCCTTAAGGTATCTACTGTAACGCCCCAAAACACACCCTGGATGACATTACATTCTAAAACCATTCATATCATGAGAGCACTAATATAATCCCTTAAGAAACAAGACTTCATTTGTCATCCACGAATATTTACAACATTATCCAAAAGAATAAGTCCAAGTCATGGCTATTACATCTCAAAAATTAATTAAGGAAGCGCAGCGGAATAAACAAAAACAGCTAGACTACACAATGTTCCAAAATAATGTTCTAGTCCAGTACAAAAGGAAAGGAGGTCACTCTATGCGTCCACCTCGGGATCCACACTCCCGTCTCGTGGAGTCTCCCAAGTAGCGGGCTCCTTGACCCTTACGTCTTCCTCCTCAAGCGGGTAATCTGAAAAATGTTAGCGATAGGGGGTGAGCACGAAGTTCTGTAGAAACATTCTCCCAAACCCATACAAGGTTTAGAAAAGCATTTAAAACGGTCGGTCTCAATTTTAACATAACATAGATACATAATTTGAAATAAAGCAGTGACATTTAAAA